GAAGAAAGGAAGGAAGGAAGGAAGGACAGAAGGAAAGAAGGAAGGAAGGAAGGATGGAAGGAAAGAAGAATGGAAGGAAGGAAGGAAACGGTGGCCAAACACCACTACATTATAATAACCACAGTTAATATTAAGAAAACCAGGACCATTTTGAGTTAATAAAATGAACTTATAACTATAGTTACTGTGTCCCAAATGTACAAAATAATAGCATGGAGGAGGCTCAAACCTGAAATGAGTGTGTAAAGCTACACATGGCTGCCCTAAGGTATTTCTTTCAAAAATGTGTACTACTTAAAAACAGAAGACTAAATCCAGGGTGTCAGCCTCAATACTCAAGGACCTGGTGCTTGAGTGGAGCTGGAAGCTTCTGGGCAGCAGTTTGATGGGGGAAGAGCACTGAACTAAGATTGAGAGAACTAGATCAGGCGACTAAGTAGCTGTGTCATCTTGGACAAGTCACAACTAACTTCTCTGGATCTCAGATATTAGACTGGACCATCTCACGGCTCAAAATTTTGTGACCCTCAATAAAGCAATACCTTCTTTCTTTTTTTGGTCACAGTGCAGAGGATCAAACCCAGGGCTTTGCACATGCCAGGCAAGAACTCTACCATTGAACTACACCCCCAGACCCCCTTTTCATTTTTGAAACAATTCTTCAGAGTCAATGAAATGGTCAGGAAAACACAAGAGGTTTGAAATCAGGCAGACTTCTGTGCCAGTCACTGTCTGGGCAACCAGCTAGCCTTGTAATCTCAGGGAAGTTAGTCAATGTCTCCCATTGGGCTCCCTAACTATGCCCAGAGGAAGAATAGGTCCTGGCAGGGGTGAAATGTGATAATGGTAATAGGCCTTATCAGCTGGAGTTAGTGGTCACTCTTACAAAGCCATGTATGTCCTATCCCCAGGGTTTACTCCTGCCTGGAGGTAGACAGATGCTATCTCAGCAACTCCYTCAAAGTCTGGACACTTGAGTCCAAAGACCTGCTGGAGCAGAGCCAGCAGCAGACCAGCCTGCAAGTCAGGCCTGATGCCTTCAGTTCTTCCATCCTGGGGCAAAGGAAAAAGGCTGTCATACCCCAGGCACAGGGAGGACAAGGAGAACACCCAGAGACAGTAAGTTGGTAAGGCAGGCCATGGCTGAGGATGTAGCCTCAGGCATCCCCACCCTGTCCTTACCCACAAGACTGGCTGGATCTGAAGAAAGCTAAATGGTGGTGGCCCAAGAAGGCACACCTCCTGCCAGTGACAACAAAGATCTGAACGGTAGGCCCTAAGATTTCCAGTCTGATGAGTTTGAACATTCAAGAAGATCATACACCATGAAAATTTGATGAAGTGCCAAGGAAGCAGGAAGGGATTAGTAGATATTCTATTTCAACCTCCTCATTTTTCAAATTAGAAACATTGAGACCTGAAGATGTTCAGTGACTCGCCCCAGTCAAGAGCCAGTTCGTGGCAACAAAGACCCTGAAAGGTGAATCTCATAATTTCTGTCCCACAAGTTTTCCAGCAGTCTCACAGAGGATCCTAGCAGTCTTCACTTACCCTGTTCTCCACCTTTTCTTGTTTGTTTGTTTGTAGTGCTAGGGATCAAACCTGGGCCTTGGTGCATACGTGACAAGTGTTCCACCATTGAGCTATATATACCCCAGCCCTCTCCACTGATTCTCTCTCACTGCTGCCTCTACATCAAGGCACTATGAAGGGGCCCAGATTATGTTATTTTGTAATAAAAATTATTCTGAGTCCAAGGCATTGAAGAATAGGCTTTGTTTCTGAACTGTTACCTGCCCAAAAGCAGAGGTTCCCAAAAGGAAAATCCATGCCTAAATAGACATCTATCTTGTCTCCCATTTCTTCTCCTAAATGCCCATTTATCTCTCTTAAAGGACATTTGCTTTTCCTCTAAATTCCCTTCTCCCCCTCCCCTTTCCCTATCAAGATGGTATATAAACCTCAAATTCCAATCACCCACTAGAGCCACATTTTTCTGTGAATACCTACAAACCTACATACACCAGAATAAAAAATCTGTTTTGCTAATCTATTGTTTGTCAACTTAATGCACAGACCTCCAAACACAGCACCTAAGAGAGTAGAGGAAAAGTTTTCCTCCTCAATGCCACCATGGAAAGATATAAGCAAAACCATGAAAGTTGCAATTATTTTCTGAATTACAAACGAATATTACAACTGGTATATACAAAATATATATAACAGATTATACACAAATATGATAATGGATGTCTGAAATAAATTATTAAATCAACTGACACAATTGAAGTACATAATGAGAATAAACCCACTTATAACACTGCAATAAAAAGGTTCAGAAATAACATGCTAGGAAAAACAGAAGTAGAACAGAATCAGAGGTAAGAAATAGTCTATTCAATACTGTATGTGAGGTTTTATTTGTTTTTTGTTTGTTTGTTTCCTTTTGTCAAAGGAACTTAATTTGTTTTGGCACTTAGGCAATATGCTATTTTTTTCCTTTTGTCCAAGGAATTTAGTTTGTTTTGGCACTTACACAACATGCTATTTTTTTCTTACTGATACCGAAAATAAGGAAATACTCGAGGAAGTGATCAGGGCTAAATGAAGGTAGGTGTGCCCAAATCAGGCCATTACACAGCAGGTGAAGGGGCACAAGATTATTCCTTCAACACATCACACCTCAGTGTCAGCTGTTGTGTCTGCACAGGGGACACATATAAAAACAAACTATAATTTGATTTTTCAGTGCTTATACAGTTCTACTGAAGATACAAAAGAAGCGTTGATTGTTCTAGGAACTGCAAAATTTAGTTAACAGGACAACACGCAATTAAAACGGACATATCCATTTCATGCCCAGTGAAGTACAGAGAGAAGGAATGGATATAAGCTTCAGATTAAAGCTTACATTCAAACATTTGATCTCAGGCAGAAGAGAGTTAAATCCCTTATTTAAAAAAACAAAACACTCTGAGGGATATTTTAAAACTAAATCTTTTTTGTGTGGTTCAGGGATCGAACCCAGTACCTTGCACATGTAGGCAAGTAATCAACCACTGAGCTAGCCGAATCCCCAGAACAAACTCAATCTTTGTTTTGTTTTTGTTTTAAGCAAAATTCACATACTTCAGAAATACTGCCCAGGCTCATTTCAGGGAGTACAATTTGACTGAATTTTTGTGAAACTGAAAACACAGACAGCAACAAACTTCTACAATCTGAGAACCTACCTCTGACTTGGCCATGGGCAAGGGCAGCCCACAGACACACTGGAGAAACAAGCAGCTGACCATGTCCATGTTCTCTAGAGTTTTTCTTCTTTAAAGCCCTGTAATCAGGGGCTTACATGGCCAGGCCAGAGCCCTGCCTGGTCCAACCCAGCAGCCTCAGCTAGGATCACTCCTGGACTCTATAAGCTTGAGTGGCCAATTCACACCCCAGTCATAAACTTTTGTAAACAGACTTTGCAGTGTAGTCACTGCCCTTTTAACTCTTACTTCTCTGTGTACTTTTAATGTACTTTTCCTAGTTAGTATGATACACTTTCTTTCTATACAAGGTTTCTTTTTTTTTTTAACTTTACAAAAATGCAAAATTAATATAGGCTGTTATCTCCAGCTAGACATTTCAAATTCTTTTTGAAATCATGATAAGAGCAAATTATGAACACAAGAAAAATAAAAAAAAATTTTATAAAGCACCTGGATTTTACACGCATCTCTTCAGAAGTTTGACCCACAGTAATCATAAAGGATCAATCAGCAAAGGTTGTGGGTTGATAGTGTCCCCCCAAAGGATATCCCCAAGGTACATGTGAATGTGATGTTATTTGTAGACTGGAATTTTTGCAGATGTAACCAAGTTAAAATGGGATCACCCTGGATTAGGTGGGACCTGATTCAATAGCTGCTGTCCTTATAAGCAGAGGGAAATTAGGGAGGGCACAGACAAACAGGAAAGGGAGCAAGCCATGAGAGGAGCAGAGAATGAACTGATGCACTGACAAACCAAGGTACACCAAGTCTCACTGGCTACGAACAGAAGCTGGATAAGGCAAAGGATCCCCCTGAAGACCTTTGCAGGGATCTTGGCCCCGCCCATTATACTTTGATTTTTGAACTTGCCTCCAGAACTGTGAAAGAAAAATTATCTGTTGCTTTAATCCATCCAGTTTCTGGTAATTTATTTCGACAACCATAGTAAACTAGTACAACAAGACAATTCAGAAAGAAATATTACAAGCAAGGAAATTAAAGACGCATTGTGAAGATTCAAAAAAAAAAAAAAAAAAAAAAACTAAAGCAAAGGGACTATGATAGAAAGGGCTTTTCCAAAATGCATATTAATGCAACAAGCTAGCCTCCCAGATTTCCCGCAGGGTTCAACAGCCCCAGATGCCATAAGGAATTCAGGTATTGTTACAGAGATGGAGGTGACAATTAACACTGTAGAGGATGCA